AACTGACGAGTGACCGGACGTAAAGGTGAAAGTAGTTTAGCTAACTCAAAACGAACCGCTGGTTCCAAGTTGAAAGAACGTCCCGATTATTACAAATATAAAATAAAATATAAAATTATAAGCACAACAGCCGATCAAAAAATAATCAAAGTTTTAAAAAGATCTAGCCCTTTATTTCCAGAAAAATCTAAAGTCTCTGTTGTCTCTGCTGTCAGCTCTTGTTGCTAGGCAAACTGGAAGGCTGGCAGCCTGGGTATAAATATCTCGGGCTCTGATTGGCTAGCACTTAAACGTGGGCCGGCTTGCTGACGTAGCACCTTGGGAATATTCCCTCTCATGCTTCTCCTTTCATCATCATCTATTATATTATCCCAGATTAGATTACATAGAGACTCGCTTCTAAAGATCTCTTTCCACTTACTCCTTCATGAACTGTTAGTTTAATGTTTTAGGTAACTATCATTTTGTTGTTGTTTTGTTGTTATAGTAGTTTATTTTTATTTTTCTCTCTCGAAACATTCGTTTTTTCATAAAATAGTTCAGTATAATGAAGGCTGGCAGTGCTTTTCCATGAAAAGATAACACACAGCTTCAATTTAGGGATACTTTCAGCTTGAATGAAAGTTCCTGACTTTTTCCAAATAAAATAGGTCAGCTTTAAATGTTTGTCAGATCATTAAAACTATGATCAACAGTATTTTCAGTGTACAGTCCCATGATGCACAAATAGTCACACCTTAAGGCCATCAGCATCTGGTCCAGGTGAAGACATAAGACAGGTAGCTTTTTCTTTTGCTGGTGTTTGCAATTGAAAATTAGCTGGATCCTTAAAGACTAGTTAGATTTTAATAAATGTCCCTTAATGTTAAGAACAGTTGATTTATGGAAATCAGAAAGCAACTGAAGAGGATAATAAATTAAGTCTGATCCAGAATGTTACTTTCTAATTAGTCACAACAACATTGATAAAATTAAAAGGAAATTTTAAATAAATAATTCAACTCAAAAGTGTTAGTAGTTTTGTATAAGGCAATAGCTGTGTCACATTTCCTTCCGTAAATTCGTCTCCCTGAGGAGATCAAGCCTTAGGAGTAACCTCAAAGCGCTTTGTATTGTAAGGTAGAGACCTTCCAGTGATATAGAGAAAACATCAACAATCAGACGACTCCCACCCCACCCCCGTGAGCAAGCACTTGCTGACAGTAGGAAGGAAAAATTCCATATTAATTAATTTAAAGTTAGCATAATGTGTCGTCAACAACTTGATTCAACGTCATTTCACTCCTGACTTCAATGTGTGCAAAGCAGCAAAAGAAGGTACTCAGTGTGTAACGGGACTGAATAACATTATCCTGTGAGTCTTGTCCAGTCTCTTCTTACAGTGAGGATTACAGCTTATTTAGTAAACATTGGCATTGTAATAGCGCTGTGTTTCAAATTGGTGCATATCTATTAAATGTAAAAATGTGCAATTTCCATTTGGTTTAACAGATGCTACCTGTTATTTTATCCTTCTCCTTATCAACCTCATCCTTAAATTTAAATTCACATCAAACGGTTACAATTATGATTTTTGCCTAAAGGCACAACCTAATTTACCTGATGTTTGTGGATTCCTGTCGTAAACCTCTACCTCCTGTCTTTTTCAGGACCTGGTGAAGAGTCACCTCATGTACGCCGTGCGTGAGGAGGTGGAGGTGCTGAAGGAGCAGATCAAGGAGCTGATCGAGCGTAACTCCCAGCTAGAGCAGGAGAACACGCTGTTGAAGACGCTGGCGAGCCCCGAACAGATGGCCCAGTTCCAGGCCCAGGTTCAGACCGGCTCGCCACCTACCCCTCAAATGGCCGCCACGCCGGGACCCGCAAGCGCCACCACCCTCTCCCAGTCTGCAACACACAGCTCCGGCCCCTCGGCGTAGCCTGGCCCAGGTGGAGAACTTGACTTTTTTGTTTGTTTGTGTTGTTTGAGCTCTGGCACAGCCGCCGAGCCAAACTTTGCCTTCAACCGCAGGAGGCTACGCCGTTAAGATGAGAATTTGCACATTTTATCTCAGAAGGATGCAGACAGAGGGACGAGCGGGGGCTGCGCTCGGAGGCGCGGGGGGAGGGCGACAATCTTGAGATGCTGTACATGAAGTTGTTTTGAACATTTGCCAAAAAAGTCCCCCTCTTTTCATCAACTAGAATGTCTTACAGAGGAACAGCTCATCAGTGGAAACAATGCTTAGATTTAAATAGAAGAAAGAAAAAAAATCACTGTGCCTGAGTGATGTCGACTACACCAGTGGGTGGAGCAGCAGGATTGATAGTTTCCTGTTTTGCAGAATGATGTAAATAAAAGAAGTTTCCAGGTTGACGGACTCAAGAGGAAGACACCTTCTCCAAATGAAGAATGTGAGCAATCATCACAGACTCCCCCCATCTGGAATGGGGGAGTTTGGGGTGGGAGGGGAGGTTCTTTACAGCAGCATTGATGATGATGGTATGATCTTTTAGCTGTGGGTTGATGGGATGAACAAACCGTGGTTTCTTATGGAGATGATGATATTCTATTTTCAGTATTTCAACCTCCTCGTTTTTGCCCTCGAAGCTCCTCATTGCAGTTTTCTCAGCCCTGCAGTGGCATGTAATTTAAACCTTATCAGACAGGGTTGAGACTTCTTTTGGGCTAAGCTGCATTTTTTCCCCTTTTTGTTTTCCTAAAAGATTCGAGAGGGCAGAGGATGATGTATATTTCTGTATAGTGTAAGTATCATGTAAAATAGAGAGGAGGTGGTGGTGAAGATAAACAACAGATGCTATCTAGGTCACACAGATTGATGCAGATGAGTCTTGCCCAGCCTGTGTCATCTATTTTTAATGCTGTATTTTCAGGACTGTGGATGGACGAGGAGTTTAGGATATTTAACTGACAACAAGCAGCCCGACTGTGTTGTCCATAACCCTTACTGCAACATTAACTCTTGACTGTAAAACCATTTCCACTTGGTTCTCTTTTTCTTTCTAGAGTATTGCACTCTTTATTTTATTTTATTTTATTTTTTTTGACAGTGAAATACTTTTGGATGAACAATATCTTAAAGTTCAATTTAAAAAAAAAAAAAAAAAAAAAAAAATACAAACTCTAGAGATGTTCTTTTTCATTCTGTGTATCAGTTGTATGCTCATGTTCTGTGCATGTTTCCGCAATGACCGGATGAGATATTGTAACATACATACCACAATTGCACTTGACAGCTGCACTTCACAACTTTCAATAAACATGGTTAAGGAAGAAATGACTCCTTTTTTTTTTCTCCTCCCCTCCCCAGTTTTCCTGTCCAATTACTGCGCTCATGAATGAAAAGAGTGACCACATTTGGACAAGAGTGGAGCATTAACTAAAATAAAACGCATGATTTTGTGAACTTGAAATAAACTAACTAGAGGAAATCGCTTTAATTTTGGGATTAATTTGGTAAAATGTTTCTGTGATGAGACTGAAAGACAAGAGGTTGACACTCTGGATGTCTACTTGGTTAACTTAAAACTTGCCTCTGACGTATCCCTCCATATAGTAACCATGAAAAAGACAAAGCAACTGAAATTGCATTAAATTAAAAAGAAAAAGTCAAATGAAAGAGGTTAGGTTGGTATCCCTGTTTGCAGCTACAGCTGAAAAAACCTGGGAACTAGTCTAATGTTAAACTCTGACAACCACTGGACAATTAGTGCAACTCAACTCTTTGCAGTAAGGGAGTTGACTCAACTGGTTGGCAGCTGTATGTATGTATATATATATATATATATATATATATATATATATATATATATATATATATATATAAAAAAAATTTATTTTCTTTTTAAAGAAGGTTGGAGCGTGACCACTGCATCAATATTAGTTTAACATCTGAAATTCTGACTGGACTAAAGGAGTTTATATAAATTTCTGTGTATGTATATGGAGACAGAAGTGATTTTCACTTCACATTTAATCACAGCTATTATCACAGATTGCTCATAACTGTCCACTTGTCCCTGTTCAATCGCAAGCTGATGGCAGACAGAGCCCATCTTTACACAACAAAATCGTTTTGAAACAAGTAGTTGTACACCAGGTGCCCGTCTCCAACTGTTACAAAATGAATGAGACCGCTGCACATTGTGACTGTAGCATTAGTTAGAGAGGCCATTACAATCTCTAAGATCTCCAATATCCAGGTGGATGACTTATAAAATAAACTCACCTTCCTCAGTTGCTGTGGAGGGAAAACTATCCAAAGAGGCCAGACCTCCCATGGCTTGCTTTCTTTATATGAAACTGCCTCCTACGAGCAATTACATATAACCACAATGGGCTCTGCATGTATTTAAGAGTCAGGGAATTTTACAGACTCCATTAAAGTGACGCTAAAAAAACCCAAACCTAAACAAATGCATTTAAGCTCCAGAAAATAAAAACAAAAATAAATATATAATTTGGATAACTTGCAGATGTAATTAAATTCAGTGTTTACATATCAAATAATGTTATCTTAGCAGACAGCAATTAAGTCATATTACAAACACAGTTTGTTTGTAATATGACTTTAAAAAGTCATATTACAAACTGTGTTACTGCTCTGTAACACGTAACAGTTAAACAAGGTGATATTCACACTGGTTTAATGCACTGGGATCTCATTTGTTCCCTTTAGGTGGCTGAACTGAACCTTAAATATAGAAAGCAGTGTTTTTGTTTGTCATTCTCAAACTTCTAAATCACCCCCTGATCCCTCTCATTACTGAAAATACCCACCATCTCTGTTTAGAGGGAAACCATATTTAAACTGGAAATGCAAGATTATGTACACAAAGTTCTGATAGCTACTTTACAAATGAGCTGTATGCGTACCCCGGGTGACATTTAAAGCATTTAGCTGCATCCTGCTGCCACCTACAACATGAAACCTCTGACGGGTGGAGTGAGTATCGTGCTCTGGTAAAACAGTCTACGACAGCAGAATTAAACGTGGACGTTTTCTAAATGCTCAACATTTATTTGAAAAAACATTCTTCATAGACTGACAGTGAATTATACAAGTATGGCACATTGTTAGCAGGAATCACTGGTCGCACAGTCACACACCACCTCTCTCTCTCTCACACACACACACACACACACACAAAATGAATCACGATCTCCAGCCGGCGTGGTCTCAGACTGTCCATAGAAAAGCTGTCAGTACCACAGACTGCAATACTGTAAACGCTGATCAGGGGCAGGGTGGTGTCTTTAGGGTCAGCTTCAGGGGGACGCTTCTCTCCCTCTCTCTCCAAGGAGTGGCATTCATCTCTGGACCTCTGGAGGGTGCACAGGTGAGGCGCTATGAGGGCATGAGGAGGGTTTGGGGGGTAGAGGGCAGGGGTCCAGAGTCTTCTCCTTCATCACATCCCCATACGGATGCTCTGGATGATCTGAAATATGGCTGAGAGCACACAGGGAGACACGACGTCAAAGCCTTGACAGGAAGGAAAACAGCGTGGTAAACAGCCATGACATCATTTCTCATCTGGATTCTCTATCCCGTTCCTGGGTCCAATTTCCCGCTCCAATCAGCAGCTTTTTTTTTTTTTTTAAAGTCCTGTCAACTCTGTGATACTTTTTAAAACTGCAGCAGATGTGTGTCCCTGTAATGTGGCGTCAGTTTGTGGGTCGCTCACTGAAACACACTGAAAATCTCATTGTCCATCCATCCATATTCATGGATGGCCAGCCACCCTTCGGAGGAAGCTCATTTCTGCCGCTTGTATCCGCAATCTCGTTCTTTCGGTCACTACCCACAGCTCGTGGCCATAGGTGAGGGTAGGGACGTAGATCGACCGGTAAATTGAGAGCTTCGCTTTTACACTCAGCTCCCTCTTCACCACGACGGACCAGTGCAGCGTCTGCATTACTGCAGCTGCAGCCCCAATCCGTCTGTCGATCTCCGGCTCCCTTCTCCCATCACTCGCGAACAAGACCCCGAGATACTTGAACTCCTCCACTTGGGGCAGGAACTCATACCCGACCCGGAGTGGGCACTCCACCCTTTTCCGGCTGAGAATCATGGCCTCAGATTTGGAGGTGCTGATCCTCATTCCCGCTGCTTCACACTCGGCTGCGAACCGTTCCAGTGCGACCTGGAGGCCCTCACCCGATGAAGCACAGAACCACATCATCCGCAAAAATCAGAGATGAGATTCTGAGGCCACCAAAGCGAAAGCCCTCCGCCACTTGGCTGCGCCTAGAAATCCTGTCCATAAAAATTATGAACAGAACCGGAGACAAAGGGCAGCCCTGGCGGAGCCCATCACCCACCGGGAACGAGTCCGACTTATTGCCGGCAATGCAAACCAAGCTCTTACAACGGTTGTATAGGGATCGAATGGCCCGTAGTAATGGGCCAGATACCCCATACTCCCGCAACACCTCCCACAGGACACCCCGAGGGACACGGTCGAATGCCTTCTCCAAGTCCACAAAACACATGTAGACTGGTTGGGCAAACTCCCATGCACCCTCAAGTATCCTGGAGAGGATAAAGAGCTGGTCCAGTGTTCCGCGACCAGGATGAAAACCGCATTGTTCCTCCTGTATCCGAGGTTTGACTAGCGGACGAACTCTCCTTTCCAGCACCCTGGCATAGACTTTCCCAGGGAGGCTGAGGAGTGTGATCCCCCTGTAGTTGGAACACACCCTCCGGTCCCCCTTCTTAAAGATGGGGACCACCACCCCGGTCTGCCAGTCCACAGGTACTGCCCCTGATCTCCACGCAACATTGCAGAGGCGTGTCAACCAGGACAGCCCTACAACGTCCAGAGACTTCAGGAACTCGGGGCGGACCTCATCAACACCAGGGGCTCTGCCACCAAGGAGTTGTTTAACTGCCTCAGTGACCTCGCCCCCGGAAATTGGCGGGTCATTCCCCTCATCCTCAGACTCTGCTTCCTCCTCGGAAGACGTGTCAGTGGGATTAAGGAGGTCATCGAAGTATTCCTTCTACCGCCTGACAATTTTCTCAGTCGACGTCAGCAGCGCTCCGCCAGCACTATACACAGTGCAGGTAGAGCACCGCTTTCCCCTCCTGAGACGCCTGACGGTTTGCCAGAATCTCTTCGAGGCAGTCCGAAAGTCTTTTTCCATGGCCTCTCCGAACTCCTCCCACACCCGAGTTTTTGCTTCAGCCACTGCCCGAGCCGCATTCCGCTTGGCCTGTCGATACCTGTCGGCTGCCTCCGGAGTCCCACAGGCTAACCAAGCCCGATAGGACTCCTTCTTCAGCCTGGTGGCTCCCTTCACCTCTGGTGTCCACCATTTGGTTCGGGGATTACCACCACGGCAGGCACCAACCACCTTGCGGCCGCAGCTCAATGCAGCAGCTTCGGCAATGGAGACGCTGAACATGGTCCATTCGGACTCAATGTCCCCAGTCTCCCTCGGAATGCTGTTGAAGCTCTGCCGGAGGTGTGCGTTGAAGATCTCGCGGACTGGGGCCTCTGCTAGACGTTCCCAGCACACCCTCACTACGCGTTTAGGTGCACCAGGTCTGTCCAGCGTCCTCACCCGCCACCTGATCGAACTCACCACCAGGTGGTGATCAGTTGACAGCTCAGCCCCTCTCTTTACCCGAGTGTCCAGATCATATGGTCGCAGGTCTGGTGATACGATTACAAAATCGATCATCGACCTACGGCCTAGAGCGTCCTGGTGGAAAAAAACATTCTTGGCAAAAGCGAAAAGCAAAAGCGAAAGAATTTGCCAAGAATGAAGAAATGTATTTCTATGATCTTACTCCACGGCCACGTTCATACATGTGAAAGTCTCCATCTCATCGTTTTGAATTGAATTCTAATGAGCATTTAAAAGACGTTTTTAAGTTCGTGACTTTTCCAAAATTTGTCATCGTTACTGTAACGACAGAAGTATTTAGGGCTTAATCATACTCAAGTGGTAGCACAAATGCTTTACCATCAAAATATACACAAAGTACTTAAAATACACAGTTATTAGATTTACATTTTAACCCCTGATCCCATCCATGCTGTCCTCTAAGCAATTTGTAAGACTTCTGGTCAAGCTGTCATGCGGCACAGCTACATGACGCAAGCTCCAATGACGTGACGTGAAGGTCATGCAAATCGATAGGCCGTTTCAGCTTTGGAGAAAAATTTACTACACCCTGGGTTTGAAAAAAATGTCTGGGATTCTCCCGTAGACCGAATTATCTTCTGATGCCACCGTCATCTGAAATGGAGGAGGAGCTTAATACGGGTCAACCTCTCTTTTACTAAAAACAGACAAGTAACACGATGTGAGACTTCACACTTCACAGCACTCTAGTCTTAAAGCATCAATAGACACGCTACACTCCCCTGTGAACACAGCCCTGCTCCAATGAGGCTGATTAAATGTGAGTGCTTAATAAATCTACTGGATTGGGGATGTGGAGCTCCAGTGGTCAACTGCATAATTAATTAACATTTGATTTGAGTGAGCCTTTAAACATGAAATAAGCCTTATCTGTGTATATAAAACACTTAATTTAACACAGTTACTGAAGGTCCAGTCATCTGAGTGAGATAATCAAAGCATTAAAGAGCTGCTGGGTATTGAACACAGACTGATACATCACATCAGTCTGACTTTAGGTCCTAAAATCCAGCATCACTGACCAGTTGAAACCACTTTCTTCTGTAGATATTTTAAAAAAAAGAAAACGTCCGTACCTGATCCACACACAACAAACACAAAGAGGGCGAGCAGCCAGGGACCCACAGGATACTTCTCTTCTTGTGGCCGCTGTGGAGGAGAAACACACATCATGTACGTCAGCAAAAATGTGCTGCCGAGCAAACACAGAGGCTTCCCTGCTCCTTGTCCAACTTCAACAACTGTTTTTGCAGTGATAAACCTCAGAGTCGAATTATACACTGAAAGGTGCAGGGTCAGCACTTCTCTCTCCCTCTTTACACGGTGGCTCATCAGTCAAAGGTTTAGAGAGCAGCCGTGATGAGCTCAAATTCAAATTCAAATTTTATTTGTCACGTACACAGTCATACACAGTACGATATGTAGTGAAATGCTTGGACAACTGCTCGTGACCTAAAGAAAACAAAAAAAGGAAAGGCTATGAATAAGATAGGAAATAAATATGCAAAATTAAAAAGGGTAAATTTAACTAGGAAGGAATAAAATATAAATTAAGGTTAAAAATGAAATAACTGTACAACACAAATTAGAATGAAGGGTAAATTTAACTGGGAAGAATAAGATAAAATATATAAATTAAAGTTGAAAATAAAATAACTGTACAACAAAATACACAATACACAATATAGAACTATATAAGAATGTATGAAGAAATCTAAATATAAATAAATATATACACAATAACAGCAGCTGTACAAGTATTAACTGGAAATGAAGAATATAGTGACCAGTGTTGTGCAAAACCAAAGTCCAGAAAGTCCAGTGTGTGTGTAAGAACCATATGTGTGGGTCAGTACTGTGTGGTGGTGTGATTGAGAGACCGTATCGCCTGCGGGAAGAAGCTCCTCCTCAGTCTCTCTGTGTTGGTCTTCAGGGAGCGGAATCGCTTTCCTGACCTCAACAGAGAGAACAGTCTGTTGTTGGGATGGCTGAGGTCCTTCACGATCTTCCTGGCCTTGGTCCAGCACCGCCTGCTGTAGATTGAGTGCAGGTCAGGGAGCTCGGAGCGGATGGTGCGCTCAGCTGACCGCACAACCCTCTGTAGAGCTCGTCTGTCCTGCATGGTGCTGTTCCCGAACCAGGTTAAGATGTTTCCCGCCAGGATGCTCTCTATGGTGCACGAGTAAAAGTTCCTGAGCACCTTGGAGGGCAGTTGGAAGTCTCTCAAGCGTCTGAGGTGGTAGAGACGCTGTCGGGCCTTTTTCACCACGGTGTTGATGTGACAGGACCATGACAGGTCCTGCGTGATGTGAACTCCGAGGTATTTGAAGCTGTCCACTCTCTCCACTGGGCACTCGTTGATGACGGGGGTCTGGTAGTTCCTCTCCTGCTTAGTGCTGAAGTCCACTATCAGCTCCTTTGTCTTACTGACGTTTAGAAGGAGGTTGTTCCTCTGGCACCAGTTCTCCAGATTCCTAATCTCCTTCAGGTAGGCCGTCTCGTTGTTATCAGAGATCAGGCCCACCACGACGGTGTCGTCAGCAAACTTGATGATGGTGGTGGAGCTGGTAGTGGCCACACAGTCATATGTGTACAAAGAGTACAGCAGGGGGCTCAGAACACACCCCTGGGGGGCTCCAGTGCTGAGAGTGGTGGAGGCTGAGACATGTCCACATCTGGTTGGATGTGTTAAACCTGGACCACATGCAGCTTGATTTGATCTCAAGTGGGCTCAACCTGAAAAAGTTTTGCCAGTAACTTAAAGAAGGGAGAGAATTTGTATGTTTACATCTAAAAATATTTCACTTTAACTTTAAAAAAAAAACAAAGAAAAATATTATTCCTTTCCAAATTATTCTCTTATTTAATGAGACATTCACTCTATTATTATTAATATAATAACATGTACATATCTTATCAGACACCAGCAACCAGCTCAAGGATTTAGCAGCAGAAACCCTGATAATCACAACCAAAGCATTCAGAGGAGCATCTATGAACCCATGACACATTGAGCCTTGAAGCAGATGGGCTACAGCAGCAGAAGACCACACTGGGTGAAACTCCTGTCAGCTAAGAACAAGAATCATTGGAAGATTAGAGAAACGTGGCCTGGTCTATGAAACTCAATTTCTGCTGCAATATATAGATGGTAGGATCCAAATTTGGTGTAAATAATATGGCAGTATGATTCCATCCTGACTTTCATCAACAGTTCTTGCAACACCTTCCTAATAAATTGGCCAGTGTGTCTGGCGTCACAGTGGGAAAAGACAAAACCTGCTCGTCTTTAGCTCATCTTGGTCTAGAAATGCTTCCACTCCCTGTGTAATACCATGGGGATCACCAGAGAAGGATTATCACAGAGCTTTATTGGAAAACTAGAGCAAATGAGCAAATTTGACATTCTGCATTACATGTCTGCTGTTGGGATGTCAAACGTGTGAGGAGGAGGAGGATATGTGAAGAAAACTAATGTTGACATCACTGAATAGAGTTACCGAGACTAACAGAAATGAAAAGAGAAAACTTGTGGAGAAGACAACCCTCCATGATCCCTTTACTGACCTTGAGAACAGATACTAAAGTTAAATCCACAGTAGTGGAAAAGAGTGCAGATAAAAATGAAAATGTGAAGGACGTATTAAAGATATTTTAAAATGTTCCACAGTCATTAAAAGTAATTAATAGTAACTAATAAGACTCATAAGCGCCATCTAACATCTATTTTCACTTTTTTAATTCAGTGTTTTTTTTGGTTTTGCTTTGTGATATCAGCTTGCCATTCAACTGCACTGACCTCAGTGAAAGGTGGGAGCAGGTGAGACAAACATGTTGAGTAGCAGGGATGTCAAAAGGGCAAAGACTCCTGTTCAGCTCACCTATTTTGGCATTAACTGTACTTTCTTAGATTTTACAGCTTTTGCTACATTCATACTACACCACATTCATCGATTCAAAAACAATTAAATGAGAGAAAAGCTCCAGTTGGTTCTTTTTTGTCTTTTTTGGGGGGAACTTCACAAAAATCTTCTGGGCAACGAGCCACCACAAACTTTTCTGCAATTTTTTTTGCAAATGTCTTTCTTAAAATTTTAGCCCAAATGGTTGTGATGCTGTAGTAAGTGAAAGAAACCAATGTTTTCTAGCATGTAGAAATTGCACGGTTTTTTCAATTCAACTCAACTTTATTTACATAGCGCCAAATCACAAAAACAGTTGCCTCAAGGCACTTCATATTGTAAGATAACCATTCTACAATAGTGGACTTGGCGACAGTGGGGAGGAAAACCTCCCTTTTAACAGGAAGAACCCTCCAGCAGGATCAGGCTCAGTGAGGGGCTGGTTGGGGGTTAGGGGAGGCAGGAAAAATGTAGAGTGCTGTACAGTGGTCCTTCGTTTATCGCGGGAGTTACGTTATGACAAATAACCCGTGATAGGTGAAATTCATGAAGTAAGGAAAGTTTTAAAGTCTGTCTCCTGAATCCAAACTGGGAGCTGGTTACATAGGGGTGTCAACACAAGGCCCAGGAGCCAAAACTGGCCTGGCGAAGACGCCAAACAATGTGAAGGAGGTCCTAAATAAAGTTAAAAGTCCAAAATGTAAGTTTTACAAGTCTTATTTTTGTTTTTTTAAACAATTGGTCCACAGTAAAACAAACAACAACAACAAAAATTTCCAAAAAATTACCAAATAAATCTGATAAATAAATCGTACGTTCTTTTATTTACCAAAAAGCCTTTTATCATTTGTTTTGTTTCATTAGGGGGTGGCTGTAGCTCAGGTGGCAGAGCAGGTCAGCCACTAATCAGAAGGTCGGTGGTTCGATCCCAGGCTGCCTCCTGGCTGCATGCCAAATATCCTTGGGCAAGATACTAACCCCATGTTTGCCTACTGGTGGTGGTCAGAGGGCCCGGTGGCGCCAGTGTCCGGCAGCCTCGCCTCTGTCAGTGCGCCCCAGGGCAGCTGTGGCTACAATGTAGCTTGCCATCGCCAGTGTGTGAATGTGTGTGTGAATGACTGAATGTAGTGTGAAGCGCTTTGGGGTCCTTAGGGACTAGAAAAGCGCTATACAAATGCAGGCCATTTACCATTACTTTTAATCATTTTTGTATTTTTAAAAAAATATATTTATTTCTAACAAGTCTTTTCTGTTACTTTATGATAGCTCAGTAATTAATGTGTAGTTAAACTTCTTCACCATGACAGAAAGTTTCACCGGTCACTTAGGATCAAAGTGGACTGTATGTGGCCCACAATGTAGAGTAAAATAAAGTGATGGGTTTATTGGGGTTTATTTTCCTTTTCCTTGATGACAACCAATTATTTGTTTTTAAATCAATGCATTTCAGACGTGCTCTCACGTTTACCGCTGATTTTATGTCAGAATTAACGGGTTTCGGCAATTTTCCTGCCCTAACTGCAGCCTCTTCACCCGGACAGCAACATGCAGTGTGCGGCGGTCACGAGCGGAGTGAATCCAGTCTGAATAAATTACACCCCGATCCGCTCCGTGTGAAATAAAACACACCGCACATATCACGCTGAAGCTCCCAAGTCGCTCAGCACCCTGACACCTTTAACTGACAGCTGGCACCATCAGCACTACCATCACCGCTGCGCTCACGCCGGGCTGAACGTCACCTCTCTGGGCTAACGTGTCAGGTTGGCGTCGCTCTGCGTGTCCGTTAGCGGCTCACCAGCGTCTTGGCTACGTTTCCTCTTTGAGTGATGTTCTTGCTGTGCTTCTCGTTGGCCATGCGGATCCTCTGTTTGGCCACCATCTTCACCGGGATACGCCAGTCTGTTTTTAGCCTGTTGTTTTCTGATGCTGCAGGTTGACGACAGCAGCAGCAGCGGCGCCTGCGTCAAGTCACCAAAAGTCCGCGAAGAAGAAACCGGAACCGAAGTGCGATAGCGTTCAAAATACGAGCACGAAGCTATTATAACAAGTTTTTATGCTCTATTCTATGGTATTCGAAGTTCAGAAATCCAACACGTGACTATCTATATATGCTTACTGTACGTTTAAATCGTTGTAAGACTTAAGTTATAAGAAATTATACAAAATGTTTACCGAGACTCTTACTTTGAAGGGCCCCACAGGATGTTGCGTGTTGTACGTTGTTGAGCTTGAAAACAGCATCCCCATGCACCTGGCGCGTTCAGGGGCGCGCTCCAGCTATCGATGACTGAATAATAGACTATGATTGAAAATAAATGAAATAGAAAACGAGTCGTCACTGTACGACTCATTTTCTGTACACGTATTTTGTAATAAATATTATGAGATGATTAAAAATACTCTAATTTCTATCCATCCATCCTCTTTTGCTCATCAAGTTTGTGGGTTTACATGTCTGTCATCTACCTAAATATAACGATGCGTGTTTTGAGACAGCCTAAAAGTTACCTTGTTGTTTGCCTTAAAAAAGAAGATTGAAATGTTTTTTTGGTCCAGTGGTTACCAGTCAGAAAGCCAGTGGTTTGATCCCTAGCTCCTTCAGTGTGCATACCAAAGTATCCTTGGCCAAGTTACCTCACCCTTAGTTGTCCTCAGTGCATCCATTTCACTTTGTGGGATTCTTGTTTTGACATTTCAAAGCACTTATTACAAGTCTCATTCACCTATCCAGACAGGTGCTTTTGCCTAACATTCACAAAGTTGCTTTTATTCATCTGGATGTAGCTTTTCAGCGGGAGAAATATTTCATCACTCGTCTAAGTGACCTAATCAGTCTCGGCTGACTGCAGTTTCCCCACCCTTAAAAACCATATATTTGCATAATAACCTAAAGAAGCACCAAAAACAGGGCATGGGGTCATGGCCATTGATCAGTGATCATGAAACTGAGTACTATCCACAGATCGGTGGGGGACGACTGCAAGCACTGGATTTATTCTTGGTTGAGAGATGGTTGTTCCTGTGGTGATGTGTGGGTGTTCATGTGCTAATGGGGTTTTGCCAGTAGGGGGCGCTGTATTTGAGAGGGCTCATGAATGCCTCTATAAAAGAAGACTGACTTGTGAATGAGATAATAAAAATGTTTGCTCGCAAAACACAAGTGGATACTGTGTAATTATTCAAAGCTATACGAAGACAACACATGGTACCAGGAGTAAAAGTGGGAGAGCGGAAGCGATAGTAGCTCAAAGTTCTGTTTGAGATGGAAAGTTTGAAGCCTCCGGAAGGACTGAAACTGGCGGTGTTTTAAGCAGCAGTTTGAGCTGTACATGGCTGCCATGGGACTGGACTCTAAACCCGATGCCAGGAAAATTGCATTGCTGCTCACGGTAGCTGGTCCTCAAGCCATTGAAGTCTTCAACACGTTTGAGTTTGAGGAAGTTGGTGACAGGAATAAGTATGACAGAGTGATTGAAAAGTTTGATGCACACTGTTCACCACAGAAGAACACAGTATATGAAAGGTATGTTTTCCGATCTCGGATGCAGCAACCAGAAGAGACTTTTGATTGCTTTGTGACTGATTTGAAGCTAAGGGCACAGTCATGTGATTTTGGAGAGCTGAAAGATTCTATGGTTCGTGATCAAATTGTGTATGGGATCCATGATAAACGGATTAGAGAACGGCTGCTCAGAGATTCCAAGTTGACTCTGGATGAAGCAGAAAGACTGTGTCATGCAAGTGAGTTAGCCCTGCAGCATGCAAAGACATTTAATGAGACGAGCGTCGCTGCAGTACATGATGGTGCAAGAATAGCTGTGGTTAAGAAGAAAATGGGGAAGAATATGTCACAGAAGCCCAGCAAAGAGGATACAGTGTACTCCTGTAAGCGATGTGGTAGCAGACATGAACCTAGACAGTGTCCAGCTTATGGCAAAAGATGTTTGAAATGCGATGGAAAAAATCATTTTGCCAAACATTGTCTGTCGAAAGCCAAACCCAAATCAGTGCATGTAGTTGAAGAGACTGACTTAAGCGAGACTTTCTTTGTGGGCATAGTGTCACTTGAGGATGTAAAAAGTGAGCATAACGAAGCAGAGGACAGTGAGCGATGCTCAGATTATGAAGACACGTGGATTGTTTCACTCCCAATACAAGGAGCTTTGGTGGCACTAAGGATTGATACAGGTGCGCAGGCGAACCTAATCAGCATGACAGAGATCCATGCCATGAAACCAAAGCCCAAAATAATAAAGAAAAGAGTACCTCTAAAAGACTACAATGGAAAGTATATTGAGAGCAGTGGTCAATGAAGGCTTAAAGTGACAATAAAACATAAAGATTATGATGTATTGTTTAATGTTGTTCCAGAAGGTCGTGAATCACTGCTGGGTGGCGTGACATCCAAAAGATTGAACCTAGTAGAAAGAGTGTATCACATCAGCTGTCCAGAAACAGAAAGTGGACAGCGAGGAGCAGTTGACTCCATTGTACAGCATTATGAGGATATCTTCAAAGGTTTGGGATGTCTACCATGCAATTACAGTATCCAGCTGAAAGAGGATGCAAAGCCAGTGATCCATGCACCACGTAGAGTCCCAGCTCCACTGAAGGACCGTTTAAAGAAAGAACTTAACAGGATGTTACAGTTGCAGGTCATTACAAAAGTGGAAGAACCGACTGCGTGGGTAAACTCAATGGTGTGTGTGGATAAAAGGAATAAAAACAATGATTTGAGAATATGCATGGACCCTGGCGATTTAAATCAAGCCATAAAACGTGAGCACTACCAGATACCAAAGCGTGAAGAGGTTGCAAGTGAAATGGCAGGCGCCAAATACTTTTCAAAGCTAGATGCAGCACAGGGTTTTTGGCAAATAAAGCTGGATGAGAAAAGTTCAAAATACTGTACTTTCAATACACCTTTTGGCAGGTATAGATTCCTCAGAATGCCATTTGGCATAATCTCAGCATCTGAGATTTTTCATCGTGCCATGGACAACATGTTAGAGGGTTTACAAGGTGTTCGCTGTTATGTTGATGATGTGGTTATATGGGGCTCCACCCTACAAGAACATAATGAAAGACTGGTGAAGGTGCTGCAGCGGATGAGGGAGAATGGATTAAAGTTAAATCGTGACAAGTGTCATTTTGGTGTGAAGGAAATAACATTTCTGGGAGACAAATTCTCTGCTGGAGGTATTGAGCCAGATGAAAGAAAAGTAAAAGCCATCGCAACAATGCCACGCCCGACAGATAAGAGAGGTGTGCTCAGAGTGATGGGAATGATAAACTTTGTAGGAAAATTCATACCTAACTTGTCAGTGAGAACATCAGCACTAAGGGAGTTACTTCGTGATTCCATGGAATTTAAATGGTCAGCGAGGCATGAACAAGAATGGAATGATTTGAAAACCACACTGACAACGCGCCCAGTGCTTGCATATTATGATCCAACTAAGAGTCTGAAAATCTCAACAGATGCCTCAAAGGATGGGCTTGGAGCTGTTTTACTTCAGGCTGAAGAAGGGAGTTGGAAACCAGTTGCTTATGCTTCTAGATCCATGACTAAGTCTGAAACCAGATATGCTCAGATTGAGAAAGAATGTCTCGGACTGGCATATGGACTTGATATTTTTCACTGTTATGTTTATGGTCTTCCTACCTTTACAGTTGAGACAGATCATCGTCCTTTGGTGTCAATCATTAAGAAACATCTGAACGAGATGTCGCCGAGGATTCAACGTCTCATGATGAAACTGCAAAGGTACAGCTTTGACTTGATATACACACCAGGAAAGCATTTAGCTTTAGCGGATGCACTGTCGCGAGCATCAGAGGTGTGTCACGCAAGCTCCACTGAGAAAGAAGTAGACGATCATGTTAATATGATAGTGGAGTCTCTGCCAGTGTCTGAAGCAAAGATAAAACAAATATGCGAGGAGACAGCTGCAGACAGGGAGCTGCAAACGGTGATGGAAAATATCCAAGGAGACTGGCCCAAAGGGTCTTGTTCAAAGTATTATCATGTTAGATCGGAGCTCAATGTGGTAAATGGACTGCTGTTGAGAGGCAATAGGGTTGTGATACCACATAGTCTGAGACAGCTGATACTTCAAAGAATACATGAGGGACATCTGGGAATAGAAAAGTGTAAAAGGAGAGCTAGAGACACTGTGTACTGGCCTGGCATTAATAAAGACATTGAGACTAGGGCTGGGCCATATTATACCGTTCACGGTAATACCGGTATAATGTTGGGCAACGATAGGAAAATGAAATATCGCGATAGAATATGAGTAAAACGCGCATGCGCAGTGCCTTTGTTTTCATACGCACATGGCCGATTGTTGAGTGAAACAGTGAAACAGAATTGGTTTGTAAAAATGGTGCAACTTCAGTGATGTGGAACTGGTTTGGTGTTTGTCCGTCAGATACACAACAAAGCACATTTTTTTTGCAGAACATGCAAGCGGCCGTCGTTATTGTCGGACTAAGATGCTCTTAAATCTGGGAGTAATCTGGGTCCTAAACTCAGTACTCTTCAGGTCAAACAAACACTGCAGCATCACTGAGAGTTAACTGTCTAAATTCTTTCATCTTTAATAAAACGATCAGCATTGCTGCTTTACCAGGTGTAACAATTCAGTTTAACTTCCAGGCATCCATGAAAACAAAATTTATTACATTTAACGGAGTTAGAAGTTAGCAGGAAGCTAGCGGAAGTTAGCTCGCTAGTTTCGCTAGTTACCTAAGCATGATATAGCATGTTCTGACTGAGAGATTTCTGAAAAAATTCAAACGTACAGCTCTGCTATCACTTCCAACATAAATGAAGGCAGGAAACTAAACAGCAGTGACGTTTGTAGGGTTACTGAAGTTGGGCTAGCTGGTATATAATGATGTGCTACGTGATCGCTAGCGACACAGCTATGTTAGCATAACATAAACAGTGAAGCTGGAGGAT